TCTTAACTTTTCCGCTATGTGGTGATGCTCTTCAGATTACGGTCAACGCGGTTTACACGTGTCGACTTGTTTGGGTATCGTAGACCCCTAGACATTAGTTAGTCATGGGCGTCAGTTAGGTTCGTATAACCGTCCCCCATTATTTTTTATATGGTCGGCCTGGCGTACTTCGTCAGTTGCAGAGGAAAAATCTGCTTTTAACAAAAGTACTTGCACTATACATCAAAATCTTCAGGCCTTGCGATCTCCTGATCTCAAACGGCTTTTCCGACAAAAAAGAATGCGTGATGTCCCACGATGATAACTCAGAATAGCATTTGTCAACAATCCTGGACACAACTTGGTATTCGACAAATCAAGCAGATATAAATGTCAACAACTATTTACAGGAGTCGCATCTCCGCATATTTTGCATCCGCAAAAACCATGTAGTTTCTAGAAAGCTTAGTAAGTTATTTCGACCGCAGAACTATTTTTGAATTTCGGTCATTTTAAGGGATTCACGTTTTACCTCAATTGGAGATATATCACATCAGATAAGGTGCTGTTTTCACAGTCGGTAGTTATTGATGGACTTGAAGATTCGCTCACTCAAACAGGTCACCGATGCAGGCAATTTCCCGAGTAATTCAACATACGCAGATATTCTTCACTATTACGTGGTAACCTTGAAAACATCGTAGCTGTCGGAATTTCAATTTCATTGTACGACCACCGAGTGGTGCCTCAATTTGCAGTATATTCCACAGGCTAGAAAATCCTTTAATAATTGTGTTTATGTCCCCAATATACACCAAATCAGATTACATTTGGCATTGATTTCCAAATCGGTTACATATAAGTAACTTTCGAATGGTTTCTTCTGAACGGATTATTTTCGGCCTCAAGTAGCACATGGATCTTTAGAAGAGGCTTGAACTTTGGGTGATTGATCAAAGACCAGGATTCCTTACTGTCATACAAGTACTACGAAATACTCATCATAATACCCACTCCTTTTGTGGAGATGAACACGGTAACAGGGAAGCCACACGCGCCGAAAAGCGGTGAGATTAAGGTGAGTGCTCTTCTGGCCTTAAAACGGTGTAAGACTGGTTGGACAGCTAGGTCGCCTTAAGAAGCTAAATGAAGATGTTTGGAAGTAACCTCAAGATGCAGCTGTGCTTCGCCCAATGACATGTTCTGGCAGACGTATGCGCTGATAATGGACGAAAAATGCTGAGAAAAATCCATGCCTGCATAGCGGCGTCGCAGTTCGGTGCGTTCTTCGACGACAATCAAGGCTAATGAATGTCTAGCGTGAATTCTTCGAAGCAGATAGACTGAAGAACTTTGTAGAATCGCAACTTGTGCACGAACTCGATGTTTCGTTACTGGACATGGGTTCGGCGTTCTGCTTGAGAGTATTTTTGCGCTGCACGGAAATGGTCGACAGGAAAACTGAAACACATTAATAGAATACTTTAGAGCGGGACTGCCCATTGACGTTGGAATTCAAATAATAATTAGGCGCACTCAGGGCATCTGAGTGCGAGTGGTAAAACGTGATCCATGTATGATTCCGCCTAACACCTCCCTCTTGAAATATATTGATACAGCTTCGAAGCCGAGGGTTCACTTGCAGTATCCACGAACCAAAACTCTTTAGCATTCGCTGAATGAACGCCTAGTAGCCCAATGATGCCGGTTGAACTGTTCCTCCATTCTGGTGTTGCGTAATAAGCCTGCCTTTTCTGTGGCCAAATAGCGTCATGCGGTGTTCAAAACAGTACTGCCGCTGGTGACACTCCAACAAGTGAGCTTGTGTTTGGTGTTAATCGATATGCCAGCAGGAACATCTGCGAAATCTCTTCCGTTTTCCCGCCCATCCAGACTTCTGAAGTGCGCACCTCAGAGTGTTAGTGAAGCAATAATCCGGGCCGCTCGACGTTCGATAAAACGGCAGCAGACGGACATGCCGTGCTCTCGACAAAAGTTTGCGAACGCGGCCGACGTGAACTGACTGCCATTGTCGGCTACAGTAGCCCCCGGTGTTCCAAAGCGACTGAACAGTCGTCAGAGTTCCGGGACTGTAGTCGCGGTTATGAGACTGTTAACTGGAAAATTTTCAGGCCACTTGCTGTAAGCATCGGCCACAATCAAAGAGCGTTGGTCACCCACTAGACCTCCATAATTGATGTGAAGACGGGTTTAGCCGGTTGTGGCTACGGCCATAGGAAGTTTATCACTGGTTAATTGGATGCTTCTGCACACCGCAGACAATATTTTCAGAATTGTTCGAAATGGGGGTCCATCAAAGGCCAGTAGAGGTGACTCCAAACAAGGGCCTTCAACTTGTTCATTCCAGGCACCCTTTATGGGACATGTCCAGGACAGTTGGTTGTAACTTCTTTGAGATGACAACGCGTTCTGAAAGCAAAAGACATCCGTCGGCTAATGATAGCGCGTACACTAGTTGCGGTAACGTCGCAGTTCGTCTTTTGGGGAGGTACGCGGGCACTGATTGTTCTGGTGCTTAATGACTTGCATCAACACAAGATCTTGGCTGGTAGCCTGGTGGGTCATGCCGGCAGTCACTTGGAGGTAGCGAATCGCTTCAGATGCTACGTGGTTTACTTATGGTTTCAGGACAACTTCTGCGATGTAGCATCTTCTGGTTCCGGCCTACCTGAGCCACTGGGCTGCGACAGTGCGTCGGTTTGTCTGAGGCTAGTGGCGGGCATGTGTTTGATCTTCAATTCATATCTCAGGAGCAGAGTGGCCCATCACTGGAGACTGTTGGTAGAATATGCCGGAATTCCTTTCTTGAGGACAGACACACACAAGGAGTGGCTTGTGCTCGGTCGTTAGGGTAAACTGACGGTCGTAGGGTATTTCATGAAACATTTTGACAAAAAACATGATCACTAAGGCCTCCTATTTTATCTGGCTGTGGTTGCGCACGGTTGATCTCAGGGATCTGACAGCATGTGCAATGGCTTTCTGACTGCCGTCGATAAACATGCGTGCAATTACTGCCCCAATTCAAAAGTTTGGGGCACCCAACGCCAGAACGATTTCCATATACGGGTCGTAGTGGGTGAGCGGCAAATCGGAACTTAGCATGGATTTGATAGAGTCAAAGGCGCGCTGGCGTTCTTCTGACAACTTTCACTTGTGGTCCTTGATAAATAGCTGGTTGAACGGACCTAGGAGGGGATGCATCGCAGGCAGAAACGAACAGTAGTGGCTGACAAAACCGAGGAAAGACCTGGAGAACGTCACGTCTGCGGGTGCTAGCATACGTTTGATAGCTTCGATGTTCTACGGGTATGGTCAGCGGCCATGTTGATCAATGAAAAAACCAAGGTACCTTATCGACCGCTTGAAAAAGTGCATTTTTCTCAGGGCACTCTAAAACCCTAATCTTGAAAGCGGCCAAACACCTATTCAAGGTGTGTTGGAACCCATGAGAGTGACATCGTCCAAACAGGCCGCAAGGCCGGGGCAACATTCGGTATCGTTCCCATGATCTAGTAAAATATGGCTGTCGCATTTTTGACACCGAGTTGCAGTCGAGTACACTGAAACAGACCACGAGGAGTATTGATAGTCAGAAGTTCTCGGGATTTTTCGGCAACTACAGCTTGAAGATAAGGATCGGTTAAGCCAGTCTTCGGGAAATATTTTCCCCTTCTCAGTTCTGAGAGCAAATCGTCTAGGAGATGCGGAGGGAATTGATGGTTATCCAGCACACCATTTGGACCGGTGGAGAAATCTGCTGTGGCGTTTTGTACCTCTATTTTACTTCCATTATAACACTACGTATTTCATCAGTTGCATAATCGTTTTTTGTTTGAATACGAAAAACTACAAAAACGCGCACTTGTACAATTTCTCATAATACAAGCATGGTCACGTGCTTCGACTCTCTCTTCTGATTTCGCTCGCGCTTGCAGAGGTCATTCGCGAGTCTCATGTACTAACTCTGGTACCAAAACATTTCAGACATCTTCGGAATCCATTATATGTGGGAACTGTTCAGAAGACCTCTGGATCAACATAACTGGATTATTGTTCATTCGCTGACTTGGGCCAACGACAAGCTATTTTAAAGAGAACAACTGTTGGTGAGTCTGTCCCATCTGACTTCTTTATTTTTGTGTACCCAACCTAGAGTAATTATTTTTATTTCTTTGCCAAACACTATTGGTAAACTTACTTATTGGGTAGTCGGACCACTAGACTGCGCGCAACCGGATGGTCCCGTTAGCCTTCTTCACCAACATGATCGGTGTGGCCCCTGCAGAGCAGTTGGCCCTTTAGAGAACACCAGCCTTCTGTGGTTGGTCCACTTTCTCGTCAAAGATAGGTTAGGCTGCACATGATAATGAGCGTTTCAGCCCCGAAACTGGCTTGGTACTGGGGAGGAGGCACAATCGGCTCATGTTTTTGTGCACCTGATCTCGTCGGCGAACATAAATGAATAACTTTGCAGGAGGGCCCAAGTGATCGTTTCGCAATCTGAGTTGCACCGAGAGGGTCTCTTGTTGCTGTGTACGTGAGGGCGCAATAGAACTGATTGGTCCAAGTTCAGGGGATCGCGTCAGGTAACAATTGGCTTTTACCTTCGGGCTATTGAGGTTTATGGAGCAGTCCACCTAGCCGGTCAACTTAATTTTATCAGCAGAAGCCTTAAGAAACCAATGTTTGGTAGGTTTCATGTATGCGTTACGAATTCATTTCCACGTTCGCTTCTTGAGAACCATGATGTCGGAGCCCCTATCAAGCGGTAGACGAATTGGGATGTTGTTGGGACAGACGGTCACGAAATTCATTCGGCGGGCAAAATCAACTTCGAATGTAGCTGTTGACAAGCTATACGGCGATTTGTGAGCTGCTCGTTGATGTGCGGGTGGCTGCGGCCTCTGAGGTGGATAGAAATCTTTGTGGTCACGACGACTGTGCCTGGACATTTATGACGCCTAACCTGGCAATACCGAGCAAAATGCCACTCACCGCAGTGCTAACAACTTGTGAAAGGCTTGCTCGGGCATGTTGCCATATTTCTTAGGCGTTGTGGATTTGAATGTCTGAGCACTGCTGCACAAAGCCACTCGTGGGTGGCCGATCATGACCGTATCATGCTTCAGGTTAACGAGGCATTGGCAGTCGGTGGTGAAGCTCTGCATAGTCATTTCGGCATCCTGTCCAATTCCACTAAGCATCCGCGTTTTGATGCCAGCATCTCGGGGCAACTGGAGACCGGATGCCGAAATGGGGCACTTAAGCTTATTCTCCGTCATTGAGCTGAGCTTGAAGCGTTCGCATTTCCGACTGACAACACCGGCAAATGTGATTAAATCCTCATCTTTCTTGATCACTTTTAGGCATTGGTAACGGATAATGAATGGTGAGCTTTGATTGCCGAATATCTGGGACAGTGTTCTGACCGTTCCATCAAAGTCGAGGTCGCAGGGCGGCTTGGGGAGAATGAAATTTGTGTACCGTTCGTGCTGCGGTGTGCCAAGTTTCGCAGCAGTAATCTGACTTTCCAACTGTCATCAAACTCGGAAAAATCAGGCTTGAAGATGCCTTCGTGCCGCTTGTAACAGGGGCCAAAAGTGCGGCCAAAAAGAGTGTCGAATGTGAACTCTGTTACGGAGGCCGTAGCTGCATCACCTAAGGACAGAGAAGACCCACTTGTACCGGCTGCTGCTATCTTGAAATGCAGTCTCCGAGTCCGTAATTAAATGAGCTTCAGTTGCGCTTCTTCACACTGGTTTTGTTGCTACTGCAATAGCTCTCGGAGCTGATACTATTCGGTTGACATCGTGGGTTCCCGTTCGCCAATTGTAGCTACTGTATTTTTCCCAGCTTAGCTCTCGGTCTGATCCTCCAAAACTAGCGTCCAAGTCAAAACAACCACCAAAAGTGCATGAAGTTAATAAACGTCGAAAACGAAGTTAGGAACACTTGTACAGCGCCTCACATACACGGCGTAGCGTGAACAATTTCTGGAAATTCTGACACGTTCTGGATGTGGCATTGGCAACCGGCATTCGGCCAACACTGTATCATGATTGGTTGTTGGGTCCAGACTTTCGACCAATCAGGTCTCGGTTTGATTCCGGACCGGAAAGCGTCCCGAATTTTCGGCCAATCCTGCATTGGATAGAATTCTCGGCCGTAGCAGCACCTGACCGGAAGCGGTAAAACGGGATCCATGTGATCCTGCCTAACGATAACCTAGCTGGTATTTGGGGGTCTGTGCACTTTATATGCTTTAGAACCAATGGGCTGACAACTATTTGTTCCAATCATATCTGGGTGTTCTCCGTCCCTATCAGTTGCAGACGGATTGAGGACGCTGAGGCTAGACGGCGAAGGGACGCAGTCTCGACTCTTCCGTCTCAATGAGGGATGCGTGCACATTGTGGTTTGTAATATAGGAGGTCGAATCCCCCCACTTGTAGTTGATACTTGGATAGCCTATCACTTCGCTGCAGCAGAACTGAACCAGGGATGGCCAAACAAGATGATGACAAGATTCGAAAGGTTGATGCACGGAAGCTGCGACGCGAGAGGGCCGCCTTGCGGCGCATCCGAAAAATCTATGATGCTGTAATGATATCACTAATAGATTTATGTTTTTGCAATAACCTTGTTATCTTTTGACAATGCAGCATGCAGGAACGACGCGTTTGGTAAGTATTTGCGGCGTTCGGCAATAATAGGCATGTCATGAGGTTAGGTAGTCACAGTGATTACTCACAGAGGCAGTAAGTTAGCCAACAAGTATGCCTCAACAAATTCGTGGTTGCCACCGTTAGCCTCGTCCGGCTGCAAAGGGTTTCAAAAAAGACCATGACAGGTCGGCGGAAATTTTTTTGAGTTGCCGCCCTTAGCCACCAGTGGCAAGCGTAACGTGCTACCCCTATTTGCCACCTTCGGCCACCGGTGGCGTGTTTACTGAGGACGTATTGAAACAATCGCTCGGGTGGAGTACATTTAGTGGTCGTACATGACTGACCGGATTGCGTTTAGAACACCATAAAGTGCCGATTCCCAATGAGATTGCGGTAAATCGTAAGTATTTTTTATTCCAAACTTATTGTTTTCCAGAGTGTATCGTTGAGACGCTCAATCTGACCGCTACGCTGGATTATAAGCGGACTTGTGGCTCATAACAACACCTTTCTCCAAGAGAAATCTTTTGATCTCAGATGACGTGAACGACGGCATCCGAACAGATATAGGCTGGTATTCCGATTAAACAGAAGATTTGTATGAGACTGTCAATCAGCTCATGCACAAGCGCTTACACCGAATTACTTAGGGCTCAGATCATGTGTTTATCAGTTATCAATGGATTGTTGTTCTTTCTGGGATACCCGATCATTTCATTATGCGGACTCGGGTATCACTTCGCCTTCTGTCAGTATTGTGTTTGCCGAAGCTTAGTAATTTCATATCGTAAATTTGGACGAGTTTCACAAGTTGGATTATCAATCTCATCTGGCCGGAAAGCTACAGAAATGCACAGTCACGTTGGCGGCTAATGTTGTTTGGTAGTTGAAAGAAGCTATGTTGTCAGCTGTAAGAACTGTCTGTTCAGGCCATCCGACTCAACCACATGGGCACTGAATATCACTAAGGTCGGCAGAAAAGTCATGCCACTAACTAGCGATTACGATGGTTCACTCCGACCCCCAAACGCCGGATAACCAAGAGCTTGAAGAATGACAGAACACTGGGAGATCACGAAGACCCTGGATGTGGAGGAGCAGCTTGTCAGCTGCAGCTGACAAGCGCGCTCTGTTTCAGCTGATCCGATCAACCGGCCAAAGAAAACAAGTGTCAACGAGACTATATGCTAAAAAGGCCTAACGGCAATCCGCTTGCAAAATCGTCTTGACTGGCGGGCTGAACACTTTAAAGAGATCCACCTGGTCTGTTTTAACACATATAGAAGAACCCAAAAAGTTTGAATGGAAAGTCACACCGGCCGACTGTCAACAACTGAAATCCAACTTGAAACATTCCTTCAAATCGACAAGGCGTTTGTTACGAATTGTCTGCATCCCGAACTACATATATATATATATATATGTATATATGTACATATATATACGTATATTTATATATCCATTAAACAACAACAGCAAACCGATATCTTGGCACGGCACAGGCACCTTTCTTACATTTTAGCTTGATGTCCAAGTTTGCAGACTTTGCAAGGCATTTCGCACCCAAACACCTGAGACCATCCAGGAAGAATCCTCGTATCCGCCCTCGAGCTAAAAGTAAGGGTCCGTTCGATTTGAATTATGCGGGCGCTTTTAGCTAAATTGTTTAACGTTCGACAGCCCACACCAGTCGATCCGGTAGAACACGAATTGTTGTTAGATTGGTGGCGCAATTACCGACTGCAGTATGCGGCTGTCAAGTATTTCCCAGTATTTCTGGTTCGGTTATTTATCTCTCTTTAGGGACCTATTCGCCTATGAATTGAAAACAAAAGAAGTTGAACTGGCAGCAGCCATCAAGAAAGATGATGAGGGCGAACGCAATCGACGGCATGCTTTGAATACAGCCTGGAATGTGGAGACTCGCACTCAAGCAATCACTCCATTGCGAAGTCTTCTGGAACAGCTCACTATCGAACATAATCAGCGCCTACTGGACTTCCGCCAGACAATGAGCGATCGGGTTGAACGTGAACGGGCTAGGATACAAGCTATTCTGGTAGGTTTCCGATGTGGGGTTTTGCGGGATATGTGTTTGGTTCATATTCACATCACTCGTTTGAACTGTCATCTACTGTTCTGGCGCAATTATTCTGGTGGGACCACACCAAAGGGAAGCACTGGGACTCAGTGAACTCACCGGAATAATTACACCAGAACCCAAAGGGAATGGGACTCAGTGAACTCACCGGAATAATTACACCAGAACAGGTGGATGACCGTTCAAATGAGAGTGGTGTGTAAATGAACGAACTCTGGTAGGTTTTTTTTCGGGTCGCTTGAGTCTTTTATCGACGACTTGTATA